ATTGTATATTTTATTTCAAAGGTTTTTAATACACAGTTCATTTGGGACATGACAACAGGATACAGTAGGGGAAATCAATGAAGGGGACATATCCCCCTGCCAGTGACGCAACTTGATCCTAAAGGATATGTCACGTCTAAATGATCCCCATGAGTATTTATGTTACTATTGTATATATGTTTTGAATTGATTTACATCCTCTCTGTGTATATCGATCCTTCCTTTCTATAATATATCATCCAATCATTCATTTAATAAAAGTAAAACAAAATTTTTTTTAATAACATAAATTACAAAATATATCACCAAACAATGCAAATAAACTCTGTCAATGACCATTTACTGGAATTCCAATTGTTAATTCACATATTAAGTAATTTTTCCTCCACATGCTGCTTGCTTTAATCTACAACATTCTGAATAACCGAAAGAATGACAATGACAATGTAACCCATGATACACTTATACTTTAACTCCTCCCACAATCTCTAGATATCTATTATAGACATCAATTATCCCAGTAAACTGTGATCCATTGAATATGGATTGAGTTTTTCCTTCATTCAGTCATATTCATAACAGGAAATAAACATCTTAAAAAAAAGAAAAGAAAGAAAGAAATCCCATAAAAATTAACAAATAATGCACATGTTTAATATTTCCAAAGCCATACAAAATCTTTCTTAAATATTTCCCACTTAAGACTAACAAACACTGACAGTATTGTAAAAAAGATTTCCCTGCCATCTTGATTCCATCTCCTTCAGTAAGACAGCCATCCCAGTACAAACAGTGCTATATGACTGGAACATTACTCCTAGAGTTGAAGACAGCTGGGGCCCTCACTTCAGATAATCTGCTAAGTAAGCTGATATCAGCTGGGGGTGGCAGAATTTAATCAGATTAATGCTTTAACAGACAGGGGAGCTACACAACCCCCAGAACAGTGGGACGGGAGTTCTTATCTGCTCTATAATTAGTTATCAACACCCATCCCTGATAATGCTCTGCTACTGCTGTCAGCTGTAGAAAATGATGTGCAAATATGTGACAAGTTAATTTTGTTTTATATCTCAGAGGAATTTACAAATACACAAATGTTTCACTATAGTTTCAGTTGCTTTGAGACAATTTGTTGCGTGAGATATGCATGGCCATTTATTAATTTTTCTCTCTGGCAGAGGCAAGAGATCTACTGATTCTATACATGTACATGTATACCAATAATATAACCCCTAATTATATAAGCTTGCATACTTACAGCTCAATAAAAGTACACCTTTAACCCTAAGATTATCAACCCCTTGAGAGCTCCACATACCTTTTATTGCATTTTTGGGAGGGAAGGGGGAGGGAGAGCATTAATTCAAATGAAGTTTTAAATCGCTTGTAATCTTTTGACAGTTTTGCATAAAAATAAATAATTATATAGGTATTTTTGTTACTTAATTGAGTTTTTTTAAAATGCAAAATTTAAATAGTAATTTTTCTTTCAAAATCTTGAATTAGCATTAAAGTAGTTATTTATAGGAATTATGTACTGCTTATAACTACAATAAATTTTGTCCTGGTGAAAAAAATCTTTCAACATTATAATGCAAACTTCAAAATTATTTCACAAACTTCCTTCAATCTGCAATCTTGTTCTAATTACAAGCAAGTAGGAAGACCTAGTTATAATTACACAATATTCCCCCCAGGCCAGCCTATAATTCTTTCCTACATGCCCATTGATGGGGACATGCATATTGCTGATGACAATTTTTTTTCCCAAGAAAAGAAAAGATCAATACAAAAATATGTTGTATATTGCCTGAAGCTCCGATTGATAACAAGAGCGCAGCGCAGGGATAAGTCGATAACAAACCCTTTGTCAACAATAGGTGTTTGTTTCTTTACATCAAAATAAGGAAGTACCGTGTGTTAATTATTTGTAATCCAGTTATAATCCTTTGAATAATTTTATTTTTCAATCATTCACAAATTAAATTAACGAGTTTATGTTCGATCTTATATTCATTTTCAACAAACAAAAAATATAACTGGTCTGTACTAATTTATATTTTCAAGCTTATACATGTAAACAATTAATTAGCATTATAATTTTTTATGTAATAATTATTATGCAGTCTCAAACACAAACACAATTACATGAACTAAAATATTTTTTGAGAAGTCTCATTGGAAGAAACCTTCTCAGAGTGCAGACTTCTGTTTTTGAGCTATTGAATTTGTTGAAACAAAACAAAATACCAACAAGTTAATTCTACCTGCTTTCTTTTGATTGATCAGCAAAGAAGAAAATTTGAGTTTAAACTAACAGAACCTCCCCTAACTGACATTTAGCTTTTTCACCTTAATCAATTTGACTCGCAAGATTTTAATCTTTTTTCACAGATACACGTGCTTCAGACAAAAAAGAAAAGATTGATAAAATCTCAAGCCAGATCGGTGAAAATTAAAATACAAAGAAATAAAAGTGCACAGCATAACAGAGAATGAAGGCAAATGTAATCAATGAAAACAAGAAATTGGTTGACATTCCCAATCTATGAACAGTTCCTATATCAACTTCCTATCACCAGTCTCATTTTCAAACAGTTGTCGTTTCATCACATCAAGCAATGACAGACTATGCATGGCAATGAGTGGAGGTTTCATTAACTTTCCTCAACCAAATTCTTAGCTCAAACAGTTTATCAATATTTCTCCTCAATTCCTCTGTAAATCCTCTTGTCAGTAATCAAGGGAAAATTACTGACCCCAAGTGACAGGACCAGTAAAAACATTTTCTTCCAAATCCAATCCTTACAAACTACTACTTATTTAATATTACTCAGATAGTGAAAATATCAAATATTTGTTTGGGTCTTGACAATGTTTTGTCATTTTCTAAGAAAAAAATTGTTTTAGTTTTTTCATGTGTTTGGGGTTTGAACTGCTTCTAATTGCTTCATATTTGATAGTAGTTGGTGGGGGAGTAAATGATAATTCACATATTAGTTTATCTGGCAGAAAATTAATGTACAATTACATGTAATTTATTTTTGATGCAAAATCATTTTCACTTTGACAACAATTAAGACCAAATATAATGTTCTGTAAGATAGCAGAAAATCTGTTAATTTTGAATATTAGATTTATCATATTTACTTTTTTTTTTTTTACACATATGTAATACTAATCCTTCATAACCCCTGACAAAAATCCTTGCTGATAAATCAATCATCAAAATTTCAAATCACTGTGAATGAGAAACAATCACTATAGCATGCTAACGTGCAGAATTTCCCACATTCAGGGAGTTCAAGGTGTTGTTCCAGAAATTCCCAACTCTCTTCAAACGCCTTTAAAAGATGATGCAACTTTTATCAAACTTTAACACTAACTTTTATATGAAACTTAGATTCTATCAGAAAAGATCATGAATTCCCATACAACACATTCTGGAAACTGAGAAAAACTGAATGACACGCTTTACAGTGTATGTGATAAATAATTTATCGCGCACTACGTCCATGAGTAATCCTGATTTTTTTCACAGCGTAACAGACCTTCCTGGCTTGAAATTCAAATATCAAACTCCAATTTGATACCCAGTTTCTCTATGCACTACTGCACATAAACTGTTTAGTTTATCAACATTGGAGAAAATGCCATGATTCACTTGAAACTAAAAAATTAGCGCAAGTCAATTTTTTTATGTTGTGCGCTTGCACAAAAACGTGGTAGACCTCAAGCAAGCAAACTTAAAATAATTTTCAATATTTGACGTTACTCAAAAGTATTGTTTTCTGCAAATTTAGAAACCGATTCAAAAATTATTAAACACTTTAATGGCAATTAAATTTGACTTATATCAAATAAGTCTGTTTCATAATCCATCACTCTGAGGCTTAAATATGGCTATTTCCTCATTTTCTTGAGATCAACTTTTATTATCTTTTTCTTCACTCAGTTGTATTTTAAAAGCATTTCATCATGGACACAATGAACCTACAGCAAATTAACTTACTGTGATTGTTTGACAAACACTGCTAGCCATCACAGGTGATCTCCCTTGAAATTCAGCAGTTGCAGCCATTGGTCAATCTTCAGATCACTCAGGTCACATGACAGGTGTCCATTTCTGCGAAAAAGCACATCAGCGGTACTCAATTTTTTTCTCTTCTACACTTGCTAAATAATTTCTTTATCTAAATTCAAGCAGTTATGTAAATCAGAAACAAAATTTAATCCTTTTTTTTCCTCAGCATTTTTATCACAGTGTGAAATAACCAATGATTTCACTCAAGACAGCATGTTGATTATACACAAGAAGTATTGATAAAAACACATGTAGGCAAAACATTGGAGTTTCATTTGGTGACTCACGTGCTACGAGCAATAATACATCATTGATTCCTCCTCGAGAGCAATTAATGCTTTTTAAACCATGCCACCTACAATGAAAGGGGAAAAGCAGTTACTCAGGTCTTTCTCTAAAAAATAATAATGCACCTTGTTTATTTGACATGGATAATAAACCATATCATTCAGTAAATCAATAGTAATTGTTATAAAAGAAAAAAAAAAGAATGCACTTGTACGACAATTGTTCCTGCGTAAAATAAAAAAAATTAATTACATACATGACTTTGCCTGCGTGGAATATCTCCCTGCCTCAGTCTCAGTAATGGTAATTGCGTATGATGTAGAGCAAAAACATTGAACTTGTGAGCAGTATTTTTTTTCATTTTCACCTGCAGAAAACAAACTTCAGATAATAAATCTTGCTGATCAGTTTGTAAATCATTGAGTGTTAATCCAGGTCAATCATATATAATCGAAATTCAAAATATGGAACATCTTAAGAGATCGAGATACATCACATAGAAAAGAAAATTCATATTATGTGTCATTTGAATTGTAAAAATGAAAAAAAATAAATTAAATATACTTCATTGTGTATATTCATATTCACTTCAATTTCTTCCTTTCCTACATATATTCCCATTCCCTCCATGTTTCTGCATAGAGTGGGAGAGACATTTCTTTGGGGATGAATTTTTGTGACTTCCAATTGGTTCTAACTCCATTGTTATTTTCCTTAAAAAAATTTGACAAGTCCTTAAATTTATTCATTTTCTTTTGTATAAGAATCTTGATAAAATTACCATGTTTTTAAAAATATTACATCATTATAAATATTTACATTTGCACATATCTTTCTTTGATGAACCTATTGAAAAAAAATGTGTTCATTATTTGGGGGTCATAGTGCAACCGAATCACAGAGCGAGGTGATATTTTGTCTACATATTTCTGTCCCAGTGCAACTTGTTTTGGAATATTTCTAAGTTAATAATGATGAAAAAGATATGAATTATTAAAGCCATATATGGCGTAACTGATCAAAAAAATATATTTTTGAAAAATACAAAATTAAGTAAAGAAATATAGTTGATACATTTAAATTAAAGCTTTTCATACAATTCTGAACACGGAGAACACCTCGTTTCATCTAATAATATGATTTTATCTTCTCTGTAATGTGTTATTTAAATCTTTTGTATTTTCTTCCGAGTCGGAGAAAATTCCAAGAATCCAAATTAAATTGTGATAACTTTATAACGCAATAATTGACTTAGATTTTCTAATTTACGGAAAAGTTCTATCTTTATATAAAGTAATGATACAAATAATAAGTTCTTATAATTTTAGTCTAATAGTTTTCATTGTACATACGCCATATATGGCTTTAAAGGATACCATTCTAAAAGCCAGAGAAAGCTTAGACTAGTATAAGACTACATGAAATAAATACCTATTAAAGTAGCGACAAAAAATTGTGGGCGTACATCTAATTTTTATACAGTGCTTGGTTCTGTAGCTCTCTGCTTTATCTGTCCGAATTTTCTCAAGCAGAGAGCTACAGTTCTGCAGCTACTTTGATATTCACCCTCACCTTACATTGGTTCTAACAAATAATGTTTTTTTTTTTTTGCTTTAATACTATTTTTTTTCTGCCATTCACATTTTTTTTTTAGATTTATCATTTTACCTTCTCACACACTTTTCCATTCAAAGAAACTCAACTTATCTTGTGATTTAAAGTCTCTTAATTTTCTTTGACGCTAGATTCCCTTTTTCGTTGAGGGATTGAAAATATCGCATTACCACCTGCATATTATGGAGTTTATATCTCAATTGATACAGTATGCAAAAGTATGCTCAACATACAAACAAAATCTAACATGTACAGTTGACACTACTGTTCTAGCAAGTAATTTACAAATAAGTTGATCATACAACAATATCAAGTCTTATTTAATAAAAGTCAACATTTCTCAAGTACTAAGTCTATGATGATACAAATTGACTTAATTTGTCAGCAAATACCATTTATATCTTGATATTTACATTTCCAATGTCTTTGTCTGAGATAAAATTACCAAATGTAAATGTAATTGATTTCCTCATGAATGTCCTTTGGCGCAGTTCCAAAAAAACCACGTGCAGGGCGGGACAACACCTAGAGAGAAGCAGGCTTGGAGCCCATGGATTGGCGGAATCAAAGCATGTAAATATAAGGAATAACTGTCAAATTTTTCAAATTCATGAAGATGATCAATGGATTGGCTTGTGTGATAATTTTATGCATAAACGCCTTCGGCGTTTATGCAAATTATCACACAAGCCAATCCATTGATCACTTCATGAATTCGAAAAATAAGACAGTTATTCCTTAAATGAAATTTGACTATGTTTTTTATACAAATTACTAAGCCATTATTTTCATATTATATTGCCTTTGGATTTTTCTATTTGCCCCAAATAATGATAATCAAGGCATAACACATGGGTGTGACAGGTCAACATGGGATACTTACTGCTCCATGGCACCTAATCCTATTTCTATATAATGATTTAAAATGTTTGCTCTGCTCCCAATTTGTATAATTTCAATGGACTTTAGAACTTGAGTATTTTTTTTACATCTTCATATATCTTCATTTCATTGTATAGCACCTCACTGATTATCGAGAATAACCCTCCAAGTATCCTAGCTGGACTCATTGTTAAAGCATCTTGAATGTCTGTAATTTTTGCCTAAAAGTGGAAACTATGCTTTCTTACATATTTCAAGTTTGATTTGTAATTAATCATGTACAAAAAATAGTTTAAGGTGTGAAATAAGCCTTAGGCCACACCAATAAAATTTCTTGTTCTTCGGACAACTGACCCCTAAAAATTGGGGCGAGCGAGCGATTTGATAATTATAATATTATTATTTTCAATCAACATAATTTCCAGGCGGTGAAGTAAAATAACGGAGCGAGCGATTATATATTTTTTGTTTTCCTTAACATTTCTAGAGTAAATCACTATGAAATCTTTTCCAATTCCCCTCATCATGTAAGAATTCAATATTCCATATTTGTACATAAACAAATCAGTCATAACAATACTGTTACTATGGTTTCTCACTTTAATTACATTTATTTCATAAAGGTACAAAATTCTTTAAATAAACCTCCTAATAATAATGAATATTAACTCTCCTATGCACCCCAAACCTTTGGTGTTATCAGGGGACCATGTTTTTGCCCTGTACAAGATTTGCTTTGTTTACTATATGTACATTTATGAGATTTATAACTTTTAAAAAGTGTTTGTTACCTCCATCTTTTACATGTATGTTTGAAAACAGTAATAACAAAATATGATGTGATCAAGACTATGTACATTCACATAAAAGTGGCCAATTCATTATTATTTTCCTATATTTATGCACTATATCAGAAGCTTAACATGGCCCCAAATTTTAATTCACATAATAAAAAATCAGACATTGTAGAACCATCGACAAGTTATGGCAGCAGTGATAAGTTATTATTATAATACATATTGTAATTCACAAATATATAATGAAATATAATTGGCAGAGAGCCCAAAAGAATAAGGTTGAACTTCAGTTATAAAATGAGAAAATATCATTAAAATCAAGACTTTTTTTCTATTCTCAAGAGTTGACTGATATATATTTTTAAATAAAGTACCAAAGATGTTTAAATATTATGCCAATTATAGGAAGCTACTTCGGCAGATCATTTAGGACGATGGATACTTTAATTTCTTCTGGTTGATCCACAACAGCTTGGAATTAGTACATGTAAACCTGAAATCTGTTAATTGCCTGAGATGGAAACGATTCTATACTGCTTCATGGAAATATCATCTACCTATAATTTTCATGCACTATCAGTATATGGTTGACCGTTTAACTGAAGACCTTCTTGAATGACTGATATAAGTCGGACTATATGAACAGTTCTCGTTGTTTTAGTCCAGTTATTTTCACTGTAGAAATTCAGGAAAAACCACCCATTCTTGATGGAACTAGTTGCTTCAACACTCAACATCCCAAAGAAGTCTACCTAAAATAAAATAAATGCAACTTGTAAAAAGTTTTTAATACAATATACATACTTATTTAAAAAAATTTATATTTGCATCTTTTACTAATCTTAATACTGTTAATACCTTACACTTACATTTAGGCATCTCCAGAATTTGATGTATGTCTATGATGGGCTTATCTGCCTAAACATAACAGATATGCTCTATCCAATCCTCACAGTACACCACGGTCACGATGGAGTTATAAGGTTTACTTGTTACCTTGTCGTATCTCTAAAAGCATGCTTTAAAATTGTGCATCATTGGAGCTAAATGCAGATAGTTTCACCCCAATCACCTGTTTGCGCCGATTTTTAACGACATATACTGTCATATTAATTCAATAGTCAAAACATCAGAGTGTCAACAGTTGCAAGTGTCTTTTCACTTGCAAATCGATCAATGTTGTCTTGTTTTTTGACGAAATGTGAAGTTTTCATCTCAATTCCAAACGCAAACATGACCGAGTATTTAAAATAAAATGAAAAATGGGGCGGGAATTGGAACGAAAATTTCCGGAAGCGGGATATTTAAAAATAATATTATTTTTTACGTTTCTCTAAAATACGAGCGCGCGGGTCCGACGAACAAGAAATTTTATTGGTGAGGCCTTAGACCAATTTATTCAACTATAGCTACCAGCAAAGAAACCTTCTATACATCCAACGCTTTAAACACATAAATCCTTTGTTGATATTTTATTTTAAAATCCCAGTGCAAGACAACATTTGTTGTCTGCATCAAACTACGTCACCAATGAATTTTGACCTTGCCCTTCCAAAACTTCCTGTAATATCAGTGTTAGGTAAATTCAGACCCAGGATATACATTTTTGTTTCCCACAAATATAACAGAATACCAAAAATTAAAATATTCCTATACACACAAAATTAAAGTACATAACGCAAGTGTGAAGAATTGTGGATTTTTTAAATAATTTTTTCCCTAAAACAATTTAACAGATTAAATTTTATGATTTATCAGAACAAATATTTTATTGTAGGATACTGAATAGCTACCTGGTGAAGACACAAGATGGAAAAGCACAAACATGGCTGTGTACATTACATATATTAACTTAAGCCATAAGTACCCGCAGATATATTTTACAAGGTATGAAATAATGCAGATGTCTTGAGTTTGGTTTTCAGTCCCAACAAATTTTTTTTGTAAATTTTCAAAGTATGTTTATTCATTGACAATTTCCCAATACACAAACATGTATATTCCTAATTCGCCTATATCATATACCTAGTAGTGTATCAGCCCTGTTTAGACTAGGCGAGACAGCAAATGGGAAGTAGGGCTGTCTCGTCCTCAGGGCTGAGATATCTCTGTCTCGGCCTGTTGTCAAGGGGCGGTCCCAGCTTGCCCTCTTATTTCAAATCATTTCAGTCTGTTTAATTTGTATGTATTAAGAATAAAATTTATATTTAAGAAATAAATTCAGACTAAAATCTTTATTATTATTTATTTGTGCTAGAATATTGAGAAAACTGTTTTTAAATTGGAAAATACTTTGGAATTATTTTATTATAACTGTATAAAATAGGCAAAGTAATTTTGAAATACTTTTACTGTGTCAATAACACTTGAATGTTTAGAACGAACATGGATATTGCGAGTTCATGGATACAGCGAAGTTTTCTGGGATCCCCAGCTATGTAAATATAATGAATTCCTTATATGGATAAAACAAATTTTGACTTTGCTATTTATCCTAGTTTTACTTAACAAGTTAAAACTATAAATTGGGACTTTTTATAAGACCTTTCTGAGAACTTCAAACAACCTTAAAGGACATTGAGAAGTTATAAATATTATCATGATAAAATGAAAATTGTTGCACGAAAAGATTGAAATTTCAAGCTTCATTTTGAGACTATGAATTAAATTGTAAATTAAAGAGTTATCCTTCCTGTCTGGGGATCCTTAAGTATCTTAACAGTAAATTTATAAATTACTTCAAACATAAAACAGTTTTAGATTACAGGATAAACCAGTTTGTATGAACTAGCTGTTTTCATTGTTTTATTAATTAAGTAAAATTTAAAAATATTTAACAAAATAAATAATTTGTTATATATGTCCTATATTAAAGGATATTATATGAATTTCAGAGGAATAAATGTTTATAAAAGTCAAGCGCCCACTGATGCTGGAGTGTGGAGTCCATGACTTGTAGTAAAGACATGAAACAGAAGTGAGAAAATGTCGACATCAGTCATCTATGAATGAAGATGGAGATCAAGTGACTAGTCTCTATCCTAAAATTTCTGAGGAAAATAGTGTTGTCTGGCTCATCCAATGATCACTCCATTTGCAGACTACCAGGTAATCTTTGTCAATACTTTAATTTGTGCCTGAAAAAATTGATGATAAAACATTTTAATTTGTCATAAGATTCAGTGCATAAAAAATACTTATAAATTTGGGCAAAGTGAAATTTAAAGATACATTAAAAATTCAGATCATGTTCATCATATTAAGTAACATGAATTGTTTACTTATTAAAAATACATATACTTGATTAATTCTCATTTCAGGTTCCAATCTGAAGTATACGTAGGAAGAGTAAAATCTTTTTCATTCAAATAACTACTTACTAGCTGTGATCCAGATGAACGTCCTGATTGTTTTGTCCAACATAAGATGACTTTCAATCTGACACATTATTCTGAAAAATTGAGTGAACATCCTTCTTCATGCATGTCTTTGTTATGGTATCTTGTCTCTGCATGGTCATCATAACTTTGCACTCTTGTGAATTATGTAACCTATAAAACATCATTTTGTAAGTTAGTAATAAAAGTACATGTATAATCAAATATTCTATGCTTCATTCATTAATATATTTTTGATCAAGGTTTGTTTATTCTTTCAAATGGTGAGATTGTGCATTATTAAAGGTGATTTTACACAGATTTGAAGTTAATATTTTCTCAAATATCCTGTAAAATATGATGACTATCACATATATTGCAAAATCATTTAATTCACACAAAAATATTACAAGAGGCACATGGGCCACATTGCTTACCTGAATAGCTTTGACCATGCAGTTCTTTACAAGATTAACCCCTTGTTATACCTTTTCTGACCCCAACCTACCCCCAGGGTCATAAATTGTACAATATAAAATCTACACTATCCCACAATGATTTTGCATAAGTTTCAGCTTTGCTTTCCCAGTAATTCCCTAGAAGAAATTTTTTATAGAATTTTCTTAATATATACTGAGTACTTCAATTTTAAAGTTTGGTTCCCTATTGTGGCCCCGACCTACCCCCAGGGTCATAATTTGAACAATTTTGAATCTACTCTCTCCCAGGATGCTTCCACATAAGTTTCAGCTTTTCTGTCCCAGTGGTTCATGGGAAGAAATATAAGGATACTAAGAGAATAATATACAATTGAAAGATTAGAGGGAAAATTGTAATAGACATCAGGTGCTCAGAGCGTCAAAAATTCATTCTCAATACATGTACAGTGGACCTTCAGATATCCAAACACCAGATTACTGGATGCTTCAGTATCCGGATGATTTTCATCAGAACAAAATTTTTTAATGTTTAATTTTTTTCTTGTTTAGCAGATAATTCAGATATGTGGATGCTTCACATATCCGGACAAATTGACCATAAAACAAAGCGGGCGGATAAATGAGGCTCCACTGTATTTAAAAGAGACAGGATGTTTTGAATATCTTGAATTTTATAGTATATAGACTTACTACTTATGTTATGCATATTATCTTTGCTTTAGCCAAAGGTTTTTGGTCTGCCTCTCTCCTTATATTGCAGTGTCTAAATCAAGCTTCATATTGCTGAAAGAAGAGAAAGTGTCATAAAAGTGTATAACAGGACATCAATTTCATCATAAACTAGAGTGTTCCAATTTAAGGAACAAATGTGTCACTTGCTTTTAGCTTCTTTATCAAGATGTATCTAAATCTATGAGTGGCCAGCTATTTTTATGCTACTGGCATATACAGTATGCAACCCTCAACTGAATAATTTAGTTGAAATCATTATAAACAATTATTAATTTTATCATTTAACGTGTTAATATGCGTTTCAAAGCAATTGTCACATTGCTTGATCAACTTTGGGGGACCCAATCCCAATGTAATCTCGTAATGTTTAAGATATCAGTTTGTGTGGTTTCTGAATATCATACAATTTCAAAGAACAGTATTATAAGTTAATAAACATGAATAAATGTTAATTTATCAACACCACCACTCAAAAGTCTTAAGTTAATTTAAATTGAATGGGGTATTTCTTTGTAAAGTAGGTCAAAGGTCAAGTCAACCATGCTATACAAATACTAGCAAATAAGGATAAAATGTTTTGTTTGATGTACTCCGACTGACCCATCAAAATGCCTAAACAATTTTATAAGCAACTTGAATTTTTTTTTTAATTTAGTTTCATTAAACAGAAATAGAGACTGTTTCATTTTAAAACTGTGGTATATGATTTCTGAATTCTCTTGGATGCTTTTAGTTAAAATTTTTTAATGATTAATATTTCACCTGTCTATAGTTATCTAGTGTGTATTGAAAACTGTTATACTGTTAAACATTAATAAATTTATGAGTCTGCAATTTTTTAATGACACTTTAATATCACTTTGATCAATACTATTAAGCCAAAAAAAGCTACCTATACCTACCCTCCTTGAAAAATGTGTGTCAGAGTATATCAAACAAAAATAATTTATTAATCATGGCCTGCAGTTTTTTAAAACAATTACTTAGATGATAATCTTCTAGAGTTAAGGAAATGGAAATTTTCAAATTAAGTTCACATTTAAGCAGTATAGGACTTTACAGAGAAATGATGATGTTGAGGCTATGTGCAGCTTGAAAATAGCGTTCACTTGCCCTCTCCCAACTCAGGATTAGGTTGGCTGGTAGGTGAGAAAATTATTCTCAGAAAATTTAATATAAATTTTATTAATTTATTCCCCCCCCCCCCCCCCCCCCAAAAAAAATGATTCCTGGAGATTACAAAAAAAAAAATGTGTCATTAGCCAGTTGGTTGGGACAGGGCAATCAAACTTTTTTTAAAGAAGACCTGGCTGAGAATTTGAACTTATATAGTATGTACATGACAGTATTGATGGGAATTTGTCTCTGGTGTTATATGTACATATTTACAAGTCTGTACTCAGATTCAGAGGAAACGATTCAGCCTATCTTAACTTTCTATGCTGATCAAATTATACAGACATGTTCTTTCTGTTTTCCTTTCATGAATAGTGTTTAAATTACTTTCTCATCATCATTTAAACTGCAAGGTCAAGAAAATGGTTTCCTGAAACAGCCAGGTAACATGCATATTCATCTACTTTATGTCTGGTTCTGCTAATTAATTCATCAAAATGCATGCATGTACATAAATCACCATTAGAACTCAATCCTGTTTAATTGACAAAGATTTGATTTAAAAAATACATGCACATATTTTAATATTATAAATAAAGTTTTGAAAAATAATTAGAATGTGTTATCTATTGAAAACTCTGTTTTGATGCTTCTAGGGTGTTGATACTACACATAAATGTAAAATTAAAAATGTTCTTTAGATCTATAGCTTGTTATATATGTACCAAATGCATGTACATGGAATGTTATAAATTGAAAATGCAAGTAGAAATAAACTTTAGTTAACTGCTATGATAATCAGCTGTGTCTTTCTTTTTGGTAATTTTTCACCTACTTGTTTAACCATCTTCTTGTTCTATTATAATCATAGAATTTTTTCACACATGGGCTTTCATACAGACCGTTACAGGGCACAATAACCATGAGCACTTACCAAATACAAATAGGGCCTAGCTGAAATCGTTGTATCTAATGTCATCAATATCACGCGTTTTGAAATTAATACACTCTTACCATTTGTAGACACTTCTTTCTTGTGTGTACATGAGCTAGTAAAACAACAAAAGCGCAAAAATACCATAGAAATAATAAACAACTTACGTTTTAAACACTGGCGAGCTTGCATCATCATGTCAACATCCATTCTCCACAAGTTGTACTTCGTTAGATTCGGACTATTTTCTCGAAGTTAATAATTAAACTTGTTAATTGCTGTTAAAATTAATTTTAATTCAAAGTGAAAGTTGTATTATCAATGAAAGCAATTTAAATTAATTCCTTTAATTTTTAAATATTTTTCGGAAATTTATTTTGCCAAGGCCGACTACTCCCTTCAAAAACTGGTTCCCGGCCCCGTAACCTAGACGTTAATGGACGAGTTTACCATGTTAAATCCCCGTAGACTTTGAATTTGCCGCCGTGTGTATACACTGGTTGACCTCGAGGGTTCGGATAAATGCAGGAAGTTTGGAAAAAAATCAATCTACCAATCGGATATAGGTTGAAGTCCAAGGTATTTATTTATTTTGAGATATTTTGCAAAAAGTAGTGACGTTCCGGTCGTGGGACAGACTATAATATAGTAGGTATATATTAGTTAACCTGTCCACCACAATTTTTTCTATCCCCTCAAGACTTAGGATTACATTAACAAAACCTTTAGAGTACTTCCAGGAGTGGACATAGCACCATACATAAAAACAAGGAAGGAAAAAGTGACTTATTAATACCAATACTGTTGACCACCTCCCTCGACTTTGACAAATGCTTTAAATACCTTAAAATTTACCATTCACCAATTATCTTTGTTAGATAGCAACCAAAAGAGCCTGCCATTTCATATGTTCATGGTAAAAACATAATTTCAGACATTGTCCTTTGCCAGTCTGGTTAATCCTTTTTGGGATTTAACCAGTTTTAAACAAAAGTCCTTATGTACCTGTATATTAGATGTCGAAATATTTTAAATATTGTATAAATCACCTGGCTTAATTAATTAGCCATCGTTCCAGTTAGGATACTCAACGATGCTTTCCCGCTACCTTCAGCCTCGGCATGCACAATGCATGCAACACCCTGATTTTTTGCGGGAAAACTTTTACTGGGAGTACTACGTCATTAAAATGTGTGTTTACAGTCCCAGAACAGAATCTAGGTCATGGTTGACATTAATCAATATATTTTCCCGCAATATTTTTTCTGTTGATCTTAACGAGTTGTAAATTCATGAAGTATATTTTCTCATAAAATGAATAAAGAATTTTTCTTTAAAAATAAAACCAAAAAATCAACATAAGTTTCGTCTGAACATGTCATACCATAAGTACATAGATTTTACCGACGCACTGACTAGACATGTTTGAAACAAATGACCCTTCGACCAGCTCGCTGACCCTTGATCTGTCATCGCTTTTGAATCTGATTGGACAAAATATTAGAGCCTTAAATAGAAAATTGATTTGATTGGTTGACTGAAAGTGGGAGGTAACGCGGTAACTAAAACCTCAACATCTCGCGCCAAATAACGTAGCGAACGAGTCATGGAGGGTGAAATATAGCAAGATATCCTCTGTAACGACCCACTAACTATGGTAATGTAAACTGTTATTTTATCATTTTAAGAATATTGTTTCGTTATTTTGTTTATCGAGTGTTTTTAGGTGGCAATGGCTAAGAATCGTGTGGATTACACGTACCGAATGTGCTCTTGTGGGGTTGTGTACTCCTTCAATCAATCAAACCGATACCGTTAGTTCGCCAAATCATTTTTAGGGTTATCGGTGTAAATATAGTACTCAATTTTCGTATTTTACAACAAAACAGGGTGAAAGCTTGTCCCTGTGGGTGTACCAGGTCAAAATGATAAACTTGTTACGACCTATCTCGTTCACGGGAGGGTCACTCGGTAGGAAGCGTCTATCGTCTGTAAATAGACCAGAAGATGCTGTTTCAAATATTTATAATCCTCAAAATGCCTTATATTGTGTTTAAAAGTGTTCAGAGAAGATTATTTTTCATTAAAACATGTGAATGACAGAGAACGTAATTTTTTCCGCGAACAGGAACGTGTCCATTCTCAATCGTGACCTAGATATTTGGCGGAACCTAGACTACCCGATCCATAAATCAATATTTTAACCAATGGCCCCAGGGAATATTGCGTAAGAAATGGACGGTTAAACTTAATAACTTTAATTATTAATCAATTGATCAACATTTTGTATACCTAACGGTTAAATAATTATTTTCCCACCGATAAATAACAGATGTGCAGAAGAAGGGCCGCTATGGCATACGATCACGCGCCAAATTCGAACGCGCTAGTATTCGTCTATCGTTTGAACGCCAACAGGAAAATTAGGGAATAATACGAAAAAATATATTAGGTTTCTTATCTGTGAAATTACTACAAAACAGGTAACAATTTTTCTATGTCCGAAAGAGTGTGATATCTTTGTATTTTTAATGAAAAAAAGCACGGTAAATCACAGAGACTTGGCGCGGTATTGCTTGTTTGTTTACACTTGTGCTTGAAACATACGCCAGTGTTATTTTTCTTTGTCTGGCCAAACACTATTTCTATTGTGGTCTTTTTGTTTAATGTAACAAATAAATGGCTTGAAAAACTATTGAAGGAAGATGTGGACAAAATAAATCGAATTTTTGAATAAAAAAGTAACATGTGCTAAAGAATTACCAGTTTGCAGTTAAAAAGTAGGCCTAGATTTAAATAATAAATAAAGAATGGGTAATTATTATTTTATTGTGGTAAAGAATATCAATCATGTATGTAAATTTTATGATCATCTTTTTCACACATTGAAATTTTGTTTGTTTTTTCTTTTACTTGCTTATATTGTAAATGACCTGATCATGTATTTTGTTTTTTTTTTTGGTTCTTCAGAAATGACAGAAATAAATTCCTCCTCACTATATCTTCTCAACACAAATCCAGTTATTGACGAATCCATTATTGAATCAAACACCAAAGTAGACAGGATACCGTTTTCTCCAATCAACACCCGAAATACTTGTGTTTTAGCAAGTAAACACAACTCTCCGAGAATCAAGGCATCGACTGACAAAGAGAACATGAAAGCTAGAACAAGATCTAGAAAGGAGACCTCTCCAATAAAAGAGAAAAAATCCTCTGCAAAATCGGACAAATCTGAACCTCTTCCAAAGTCGGAAAGAGTGAAAAATGACTCTGAATCTTCAGTGGACTCAATAGGTGAAAGGCCTTCAACTCCGACGGAAAACCCCGAAACTTCGGCCCCTCTCACCCCCACTGCAAATCTTAAAATGCTTTTTAGTGCTGTAAGTCCAGAACTAAGGAACCGAGAAAAACAGTTGGAGGAAAGTGAAGGAAAAGACTGTGATGAAATGGGAGGGAAATTTAAACCCCTAAATCTGGATGCTGAGCTGGCAGCTTCACAACTCGAGGACGAAAACGGAGACTGGAAGCCGGGGTCTCGAAAGGAAAAATCCTTAGGCCTTCTCTGTCAAAAGTAGGAACTTAGTTTTTTGTAAAATTACTTATTATAATAGTTTATTTTGTTCAAAATGAGGTTGAAACATAATGTCAATTTTGTAGGTTTCTTCAGAAGTACCCAGTGAATCCTCAAACGGAAGAAAGCCAAGAAATTTCACTTGATGAAGTTGCAAAGGAATTAGGTAAAATTTAGAAAACATTTTAAGGTGGGAAGCTATTACTTTGCAAGAAATGCTTATAGACTTCAGAATTTACAATTTCTCAAAATATTTAAATTGATTAAATGTATACTACTTAACATGATTAATGAAGAAATATTAATAGGATAAGATTTTAGTTTCTATTCAAGCAGCTTTATTAGCAAAATTACATAGAGATGTGCATTAAATAATTGCTGGTTATTAAACTATTCTATTATATCTTGTAGCGGTAGAAAGGAGAAGAATATATGACATAGTGAATGTTTTGGAAAGTGTGGAGATAGTCAGCCGGATAGCCAAGAATAAGTACGCGTGGCACGGGAAAACGAACCTAGTCAATACTCTAGCCAAACTAAAGGTGAGCTCTTCATTAATTACGTGTGTTTTCTGTTGTATGGATTCAATTAAAATTTTGGGAAATATAAAATGCAATTAAGAAGAAGCAAAGTAAAGCTTTGTTGTTTTTTTTTTCTGAATATGAAACTTTGAAAGAATATGCCACAAACAAATTTGTTTGATCTGCCACATAGAAATATTACTTTTCTCTATTTAAATCTAATATGGAAATTTTTAAAGTGTAAAATGTGAAATTAAACTCTTGAAAATATTGCTAGAAATTTTACAGTAACAAAACATATTCTACCCTTTCAAAAGTTATGTTGAACTGTGAAGTTTAATTTTTATACAAACAATGTGACTTGAAGATACATTTAGAAGGTAAAAAATTGTAGTATTTTTGAAACAGGAAGAATAAATTTCTTGCTCTGTTGTAGGCATTAGCGGATGCAGAAGGATTTGGAGAATTAGTGCTAAAAGTGAAAGACTATGAATTGAACCGCGAACTAGCAGAGCAGAATGGCAGTGTATATACAGCTCCCCCTCCATTTATAATGGATCCAGACAATCCTAATGCAGGTATGAGGAGGGTCTATATATTTACAAATGATAGAAGATTAAGTCACTGCTTTATAATTATCATTCCCAATGAGGGAATAATGTTCAAATAAAAATCTACTGTGAATAACTACTCAAATAAATGTGAAAGACTAATTTTGTGATATGTTGTATCTTGTGTTTTAATTTACTGAAATTTTTATCTTGATTGCAAATTTGTCTTTTCAGCTTTACTAAGGAAAGACAAATCATTGGGCATTATGAGTCAGAAGTTCCTTATGCTCTTCTTGGTGTCAAAGGTAAGCTTGTCACAAATAGACCTTTGGTCTTCTTGCTCAAGGTTTTTTTTGTGAAGATGGTACAGGGAATTGTGCTTGTTATATGTGATCATTAAATTATCCACAGAGCCAGCTAAAACCTTACTTTCCTCAAATCATTCACGAATAAAGAAATTTTTCAACTTTCTTGAAATGTAGGGTCAGACCCTCCAAAAGATATATATTACTAAGAAAAATGAAAAACTCTGTAAAATGACATGGATAAAATTTAATTTTTAAAATCAACAATTTCTTTCACCAAAGATGTACAAGGTTTAATAGAATATAGTGAAATATTCATGAAGATATTTAGTTTGTCATTTTTTTTTTTTTCAAATAAGCCAAAATTATTTTTATGTGAAATTCTATATATTTGCAGCCGAGAGTGGTCAACTTGGACTTAGCAGCTAAAATTCTTATTGGAGATCCAAATATTGACAGAACGGAAAATGCCAAATTCAAGAGTAAGTTTTTATTAAACTATTGCTGTACAAGTTGAATTTCAACACAATTTTTCCATAAACATCAGTATTTTATTTTGACAAGAAGTACTGTAAACCAATTATTATACGCGTCATTTTTTATTCGCAACTGACCGCCATAGAACTTATCCGCGACGATTTATTTCCGCGAACGAGTGGTCACATTTTTTTATTACAATGAGTATTTTTGAATAAAATAAAAATTTTATATCCGCCCATCAACAAGGTAAAATGGTAGCGTGAGGTCTGCTTACGCATTATTCAAGACATTCTGTGCATTGTGTCCATTTAAAATCTTACATCCGCCCCTAAAGTAGATAAAAGGTGAACCATGAGTATACTTCATATGCATTTTCATAACGCTCTTGAAACGAAAATCAGGGTAAAATCTAGGAGATTAAAATGGATTTCAAACTCTCGATTGTAAAAGTGCCTCATACTAATTGGGTAATCGACGCTTTCTAAGATCTACACAGCCAAGGGGCAATTATAAATGGTTTGGACAGAGCAGGACTGTGCCATAATTAGCCGTTATTAACCAGGCTATCTCTGACTCATCTGTAACAATAAATGAACAATAATAACACAAGCTGAAATGATTATTGACATTTTAATCATTTTTAGACAAATAGTTTTAGATTTGCCATTCGTTTTTATTTTTTTTTTTTGAATGTTTGTAATTAAATTTCAACTGCTTCTTGTACACTAACAGTAAAGTTTTTCCGTGATTACTTGTTGAACCGTCGGGATCGGTATTGAAAAAAAGGCAAATAACTCTAAATAAATCATGATATAGGAATATAATGAACAACTGGTTCGCATCGTCTCTAGCCACGGTCCGGAGTCCGCATAAATGGGAGAGGATCGTACATTTTGGCCGTGGTTCGCGACGATAAATATCCGCGAGCAGAGGTTACTTGCGGAACTCGCGGATATTTATCGCACGCGTATAATACTTGGTTTACAGTATTTATATTGATATTATGGTGCATAGAAATATAACGGAAACCTCTTGTGTGGAATTAATTGTTAACAATATTTAATAGCAGCAGTCTCAACACCCTCAATTAAAATGCCATAAATGAATCCTTGCCAAAATTTCTGCTTATACAATATACAATGTACCTAAAGGAAACCTTTGTTTGAGATAAAAACTTGTATACATATTTCGTTGAGAGAAAAAAGGTTTTGGCTATCAAATTTATCTAAATTTTATGCCAGTATATTCTTGTAAGTAATTGGAACAGCTCTCAGCATTTCAAAATAATTTACAAAAATGTTATTTTTCAAACAAAGATCTGTGTATTCATGATCATTTCTCTGTTTCAGCAAAGATAAGGAGACTGTATGACATTGCTAACATTTTAGCAACTTTAGACCTTATCAGGAAAATCCGCATCACCGACATCAGGGACAGAAAACCTACCTACCAGTATATAGGGCCAGATCTGGAGCAAGTGCATGAATTAAATGGTTTGTAATATTCAAAGTTCAAAGAATTGACAAGATTGATGCTTTTGCAAAAAGCACATTTTTGTGTACTATATGTACAAGATATTGAATTCAGTTCTTTGAAATTAGAAGGGACTAGATAATATACAAATAGCTTATTATCCCCCACCTCTAGGATATGGAAAGTGTTGTCAAAATCCACAGGAAAAAAATATTGGAAGCAAGGTATATTCTTCTGAGAGAAAAAAGAATATTCTTACTGAGATGAAAGAAAATTGTGAGCCTCAAAGTATGAAACTTGCGAAGTTGGGGACCCACATACCCTTAAGATTTAAATATTATTTTAAACCCTGGACTCTTCAGTTCATCACAAAATATAAATTCCTACAGTCAAAACTTGATCTCAATGAGACTAAGGAAAGTTGAGATATCCAAGGATTTGAGATATTTAGGTTCAAATACTTAAAGAATAAGGGGATGGAACTTTCACATCACTTTGAAATATTGATGGTATTTAAGATATTATTGTTAAAGACATCAAAGTTGAACTGTTAAAAAAATTAACAATTGAGTTTAAGTGTATTTGAAAAGCTTAATATTATACTACAAAATTAAGAATTTTCATGTACATCTTCTTGGGGCATATATCAAAACCTCGTGTCTTGTTCATTATTAATAATTTTTCTCTATAATCATATTTCATTCTTCTTACAGTATGTTACCACGATGGGTATCATCGGCCAACTTCTAGACATTCCATGCTTGACTGTGTCAAGAACCAGCAAAGTATGTATCTGTCTTTACATTACATGTTACACTGGTCAAAGAGAGATAGAGAATAAGAGAAAAATAAATCTCTTTTATGGGAACAACTACCTCTATATACCTCCACATTAATATGATCAACAAATTCATGTTTTGTCATTTCTTAAATTTCCTTATATTTGTTTTGTATTTTTTTTTTCTCTTCTCTATGTGTTACACTGGACTGGATTTTCTACTTGATATGCACTATGTTTCATTGAAAAATAAGTCAGCCCTTCCTAGTTTGCTCACGTCAGCAAGTGGACTTGTAGCAGATTAGCATGTGTCTCACTCCCAGTTTGTATTAGGGATCAGATATTGAGGGCAAAAGTTTTGCTTTGTTGAATCAGTTGGTATAGAATGAAGCATTTTTCAATCTTTGCAGTGTCTGAAATTCTATCAACACATGGACATCGACCTATTAAACCAAATGATTGCAAAGGTAGTGTTTCTGAATGTATAAAATTGCAAAATTGAAGTTGGCATAGTCTTTCCTATAAACCTAGATAAATCATTTTCTTTATGGTAGTCCCATCTTCTTTCAAAATGTGAAGAACATGAAATTTGTGTCAGAGCATCAATCCATTACAGGCTTTATCCATACTCTCACATTTTTTTCCCTTCTTTGGAATAGATGATATTATTCTTAGTACCTTTTAAGTCATAAATCTTATCTGGATTTCTGTCTTGCTTTTTCTGAAAGTTCTTAAGGAATATATTCTATGGTTTTCTATTGAATCCGTTTAAACTTTTCACATTTTCGACTTCTTCTCAAGAACCAATGAGCTGATTTTAAGAAAACTTGGTACAAAGCATCTTTGGGTGAAGGGGAGTTTAAATTGTTAAAATGAAGGGCCAAGTCCCCTTACAAGGGGAGATAATCAAGAAAAGACAAAAATAGGGTGGGGTCACTAAGAAATCTTCTCAAGAACCACTAGGCTAGGAAAGCTGAAACTTATGTGGAAGCATCCTTGGGTAGTGAAGATATGAAATTGTTAAAATCATGACCCCCGGGGTTTTTACGTAGAAATATATAGAACAAATCTTAAAAAATCTTCTTCTCAAGAACCACTGGGCCAGGAAAGCTGAAACTTATGTGGAAGCATCCTTGGGTTGTGTAGATATTAAATTGTTAAAATCATTGGGGCTGCAATAGGGAATCCAAGTTTCACTTAGAAATATATAGAACAAATCTTTAAAAATCTTCTTCTCAAGAGCCACTGGGTCAGGAAAGCTGAAACTTATGTGGAAGCATCCTGGGGTAGTGTAGATTCTAAAGTTTTAAAATCATAAAAGGGAAGGGCGTAGTGGGGCATGATTATGATAGGTATAGCAAGAGAAGGAATCGGGTAAAGAACTACATCACCCAAGTTACTCAGATGAGCGATGTGGCCCATGGGCCTCTTGTTCTAAAGTTCTTAAGGAATATATTTTATGGTTTTCTATTGAATATTTCAAATTATATGTAACTGAATATCTTATGATTATATCTGCAGTCAGTATCATATTGAAATGCTTTTCTACATTCAAGTCTTTGATGATCTGTCAATTTTAGTTTCTTATGAAATTATCAGAACCTGAAGATTTTGACAAAACCATAAAGTCATTTGCCTAAATAAGGATTGTTGTTCATTATTGGATGAAATAAAGTGAACTAACTATGTTGGTGTTTACATAATATGAGGTCTTGTTTCATGGGGGGGGGGGGGGGTTAAAAACTTTAAACTACAACAGTAAATCTTTTTATTGCCAAATGAATAGATAATATATTACAAGTCAGTATTTCCTTAAAATTCCAGTATGTTGATATATCAGTTTAATTAGATTAAAAATAAAAAAACATTGTCATGTAAATATTTTTAGAATTTATTCTGTAAAGCCCCTGTTTATTGTTGTGCTGTCTTTTTTCAGGACTAGGGGACGGGGCTCCTAGGAAGAACTCCATGCCCAGACATTCCTCTTTTGAGCAGATCTGCCAGGTCGCGGATATATTTTTAATTACATTTTTTTTTGAAGGAACGAGACAAGTTGTACGCCTCAATGTCACAGCCATCAAGTCCAACCGAGAAACACAGCTTTGATGGTAAGATTTGCTCTTAACTGTCTTTGTTATATTTCCTCCCAATGGTGAAGAGGATGAATTACACAAATTGGTCATTTCAAACCAAATATAGGGACTAGAAATTTTTTGATTACACCCAGCACATCCAACATCTTTCTTTAATTATAAATAGGGGGGGGGATTTATTTTTATATGTGTGAAGAAGAATTCTTGTGGTGCTAAAGATTTTTCAGAAAAAATTAATTCAAACAATATTTTATTATGAAGAATTGTTACGAAAGGATTGGACTACAGGCACTTCCTATGCACTGCGAGTCCTCTCTATTTTTAGGTCACCTGAGTAAACTCAGGTGACCTATTGCTATCCGTTTTCGTCTGTCGTCGTACGTTGTACATCGTTCGTAAACTTTTGAACATTTTCGGCTTCTTCTCAGCAACCACTGAACCAATTTCAACCAAATTTGGTACAAAGCATCCATGGGTGAAGGGGAACAAAAATTTTGAATTTCATGATCCCTGCCCCCCTGGGGCCTGAGGGGTGGGGCCAAAACCACTAAAATTACTGCAATCTTTAAAAATCTTCTTCTTTACTCCTGGACATCAAGCAGTCAAACTGTTTGCATGATTGTAATCAGCATTGAGTCCTCTACCAAAATTGTGAAATTCATGGCCCTGGGGTCAGGGGTTCTAGTGCTAGGGCGGGGCTAAATAAGAAGGTAGTGAAAATGCATTATTTCTTTGAAAAACTTCTTCTCTGCTCCTGGGTATTAAATAAACTAACTAAGTGCATAGTTATGATAAGCATGAGTGCCTCTACCAAAATTGTAAATTTTATGGCCCCAGGGTCAAGAGTTCTGGTGTTGGGGGGGAGGGGGGGGGGGCTCTATTGATTATATAGTGAAAATAGACGAATTCTTTGAAAATCTTCTTCTATGCTCCTAGGTATTAAATAAACTAACTAAGTGCATAGTTATGATGAGCAAGAGTGCTTTTACCCAAATTGTGAATTTTATGGTCCCAGGGTCAGGGGTTCTGGTGTTGGGGGTGGGGGGGGGGGGGGAGGGGGCTCTATTGATTATATAGTGAAAATACATTAAATCTTTGAAAATTTTCTTCTCTGTCTCTGGGTATGAAGCAGATGAACTACCTTTATAGTTATGATGAGCAAGGGCCCTAATCTTGCAGAATTGTGAATTTCAAGGCCCCAGGGGGGGGGGGGGGGGGGGGGGGGGGGCTCTTTATATACTGAAAATAGATTAATTGTTTGAAATCTGCTCCTTTGTATTTATAAAACATTTATTTATTTTTTGATAGGCAATTTTAAGGGTGCCTTTTTAAAATTTGTGCAATGTGTGGACCTAGGGTCAGGGGTTTATTTCACAGTGTTAGGGGCACTACTGATTATTGCTGAATATTACTGATTAGTTGGAATGCTTTTTTGTTTCCCATCCTTGTGTATGGGTATTCAGTACCCCTGCGAGGTGATCATGAATAATTCATGAATTTCCTTGAATTTTTCATGAATTTTACGTCGTGCGACGTGCGTCGTGTGTTAACATTTGAAGATTTTCAGCTTCTTCTTTGAAACCATTGAACCAATTTCAACCAAATTTAAGATACAGCATCTATGGGTGGAGGGGAACAAAAATTGTGAATTTCATGGTCCCCACCCCCGTGGGGCCTGAGGGGTGGGGCCAAAGCCACTAAAATTACTGCAATCTTTAAAAATCTTCTTCTTTACTCCTGGACATCAAGCAGGCAAACTGTTGGCATGAATGTAATGAGCATTGAGTCCTCTACCAAAATTGTGAAATTCATGGCCCCAGGGTCAGGGGTTCTAGTTCTAGGGCGGGGCTAAATAGGTTATATTTTGAAAATGCATTTATTCTTTGAAAATCTTCCCCTCTGCTTCTGGGTATTAAAAAAAATTACTAAGAACATCGTTATGATGAGCAAGAGTCTCTCTTCTGAAATTGTGAATTTTATGGCCCTAGGGTCAGGGATTCTGGTATTAGGGTGGGGCTCTATTGATTATATAGTGAAAATGCATTTATTCTTTGAAAATCTTCTTCTCTGCTTCTGAGTATTAAATCAACTAACTAAGTACATCGTTATGATGAGCAAGAGTCCTCTTCCAAAATTGTGAATTTTATGACCCCAGGGTCAGGGGTTCTGGTGTTAGGGCGGGGCTCTATTGATTATGTAGTGAAAATGCATTAATTCTTTGAAAATCTTCTTCTCTGCTTCTGGGTATTAAATAAACTAACTAAGCACATAGTTATGATGAGCAAGAGTGCCTCCTATACAAATATGAATTTTATGGCCCCAGGGTCAGGGGTTTTGGTGTTAGGGTGGGGCTCTGTTGATTATATAGTAAAAATACATTAATTCTTTGAAAATATTTTCCTTTGCTTCTGGGTTTTATGCCAATGATCCAAGTATATATATATTAATGATGAAGAAAGGTGCATCTAGCAAAGTGGTTTTTTTATGCCCCCTGGGTCAGAGTTGTGGTGGTGGTGGTGGTGGGGGGGGGGGGTCTAAATAGAGTAAGCATGCTAAGTTAATAATTTTGATAAGCAGTGGTGCCTCTTTCAAAATTGTGAATTGTGAATTTCATGGCATCTGGTTTAAAACAGAAACCAAATTTAATTGTTTGAAAGTTGTTACAAAATACTCAGGTGACCTATAAGGCCCGTGGGCCTCTTGTCATGAAAAGTTGCAATATAATTTCATATCTTTCATCACTAGTTGTAATTTTTTTTAATCAATCATAGAAACTAGAGTTTGTTGTAAATTTTCAAAGAATTTCTTGGATATTTCCACTTTGAATCCACTATTTAGATGATGGAAAAATTATTCATAATGATTTTAAAAAGTTTTTAAAGAAAAATATTTGTATTTGCAGATTCAAGAATGACCTCAAGTCAAGAGGAGCCAAACACCATTCGCAAGAGTGTTGGTAAACGAATCATTGTCAAGCAAAAGGGTACAGAATTCCAGATTATTCATCCTACAAAAACAACAGTATTGAAAACAGACGCAGCTACTTCTACCGTGCCAAAGCCCTCGGGGGGCGTCTCCAAAGATACAAAGACTATGGAGACCATAGTCATCAAAGCCAAACAGAGCTCTTCTCTGCCACTGACCCCAGATCAGATAAACGCAGTACTTAAATCCTTGAAAGTGCCAGTACCTATCAAGAAGGAAGGTGAAGCAAAGGAAATACAGAGTCCGGTCAAGAGTGAGAATGCGCCCGAGGCTGGGGCGTTTCAAGCCGTGAAGAGGGCCTACGTTCTGCAGAATGGGGAACCCGAGGTGAAACGTTTCAGGTTGGAGTATCCTTCACCCCCAACGGATGAGGACGAGGCCAAGTCAAAAAAAACTTCCACTGATATCAAAGGGAAAACACCCCCTCAGAGAGCTTTGACCTCAGAATTCATGGATGCAAAAGGATCCCAAAGCTCGTCAGACGTAGAGCCGTCTCAGTCGACCGATTCATGTGACTCGGAACCATCAGGGAGTAGTAAAAACAATCAGGGACAAATTCACAGAATCGCGGTACAGTTGCCAAATCAGCCTCCTACCATATTGCAGTTACCTTTCATTCAGCGCCAACCAGCCACCTCCATATCCCACATGCAGATCATTCAGGGTGTTCCGATGAGTGCCACCGATGGTACAGGACAAGCGGTAAACTTCATGGTGCCTGTAACTTTTAGTCCTCCCCTTACCCCTAACAGTAGCTCCTCCCCTAGTCCAACTGTGTTCACTTTTGCAGGTCAACCCACTTTTGTGAACCAGCATCACTTAATTGGTCAACCACCCGTGAAATTGTCACCGATTTCTGTTTCCATGGCCAGTGTCTCCCAGAATAGTGCTGTTCAGTCCTCCCCCGGCATTCCCCCCCAGCAGATGATCACCCCCACGGAGCGCCCCACCCCCACGGCTAAGTTCTTCCGGAACACCCCTGGGGGCCTGATTCCACTGTCAACCATTTCAGCTGCAGCCAGCAACTTTGCAGCCAAAGAGGGCCTGGCAACAGCAAGGAAGCTTGACCTCCCTGACCTCAGTGCTAATGACATCTGCTGAGTCGATCTCATATTTTATTGACTTGTAGGATATTCATATTTAAGTTTAAAAAAAGTATAAATGTATTTTATTGAGGGATGATTGCATGTTGTTTTTTTTTTGTCTGAGGAATGTGTCCCGTGCTGTCCTTTTAACTTGTAGTTAACTTGACGGAAAAAAAGTATGTTTTAACTTATGGCTTGTGTCTAATTTTATGTGGTGCACTAAGATGTAAAAAATTTAGACCAAAGTATTTATTCTCTGCACAAGAATTGTGTATCTGCATGAAATAAAATATTTTTTTGTAGTATTTGTTATGTGAAGCCTCTTATTTTGAAAACAAGCCTAGCTATATATATATTGTTTGTTTGCTTAGTATGGAACTAATGATACACTGTATTTCTGGGAAAATCTATATCGGAAAAATCCACAGAAGGCAAATGTTAATTTCTAGCTTGCATTTTATAAGGATGATAGAGGAGGTGTTAAGTGTACAATAAAATAAAATGTGCTTTTTCTTGTACAAAGTTAAAGTGTACAAATGTTTGGTCTGAAAAAGTATTGTAAAATCTGTAATTGGAAACATATACTATAAATTGTTGGAAGAGAAATGCATGTGTAAAAATGTTAAAGGTTTGAAGTGTAATGTGTAGAAATAGGTGAATGTTAATAGATGGATGTAGACAAAAATGAAATTCATCATTTGTAAGATGTTTCTGGGTCCATGCTAAATGTAAAAAAGTTTGACTTGCAGTGTGTCAATATAGAATGGTAATGGGAAAATGTATACCCATGTAGAATGTAATTGTGAAAAAAAAATGTTGAATAAAGTTAAGTTGGGGTACATGATTTTTTTCTTGTCTGAATTTGGGTCTACGATATGCATGTTGTTTGACTAGTGTACTTGGAAGAGGGCTGTCTGGAATTTTTGTAGAACTTTCTGAATGCATTAGAGTTGAGACAAAGAAGATAATTTTGTGGCAAACTGTGATACATCTTTATTGTTTAGTTTGTCATCTTTGTTTATCAGTAAAATGTGGTTGTAATCATTTTGATAATTTCTGTAGATTCCAATTTGTTAAGTTTTTTTTTGAAAGATTTTTTTAGGCAGCATTCATAGTACCCAGTACCCGCATGTAATGCATATATGTTTTGTTTATTTTTTATTTATTTTTTTTCCTAATAATAATAGTTTTATTTTTGCATGGGCAGTACTATAATATATTTTTTAAATGTATAATATTTGAGCTAGCTCAATATGTTTATTTTATTAATCAATGAGTTGAGAGGAAGATCACATGAACACTGTGTAGGAGTTATCTTCCCTTCATCTAAAGCCACGCACAGTCATTTCATTCCTGGATTATAGTGTTTTAATTAGCAAACAAATCAGCTCACTTTATTCATGATACTCTTTTGTTTTTTGTTAGACAACAAGTATTGTTAAGTTGTTTCTTTTATTATTCTATGTTTTAACCCTGCATCGTGCACAATTTCTTCCAATATAATTGATTAAATTGCTGCATGAAAGTCAAATTGTACATAGATAATTGTATATAAAGGAATAATAAACTATTTAATGATGCGTATGCATTGTTTGTTTCTCTTAGATTTTTATGCAGGTTTAGTACAATCTGTGTTCAGGTTTTTGTGATAGAGGGACAGACAGAAGGACGAATGAAATGTAGTGCCCCTTCTCTTTTACGAAAGCGGGGGACAAAAAGAATGAACTACAGTTGAACTTCTGTAACAAACATTGAAATCTGGAATGAAATAGTATGTGGAAGTCATTTGGAATTTCTTACCAATTCAATTTGATTTTATCCACAATACATTGAACCCTGGGATATTTCATCAGTTTTCCTTGTTCCATTGAGTTTGAGATAATGAGGTATGACTGTATGTAAAAATAAAACATCACAAATGTGGGAAATTTTTTTGTAAACTATTGTCTTTTTAGGTCACCTGAGTAAACCAGGTGACATATTGCAATCTCTTTTAGTCATCCGTTGTACACGTGCGCCGTATGTTAACATTTGAAAAAAAGTTAGCTTCTTTGCAACCGCTCAACCATTTTTGGCATAAAGCATCTAAGGGTAAAGAGGAACAATTTTATTTTATTTCAAGTCCCTTCCACCATGTGGCTTGAGGGATGGGACAAGAACAACTTTCTCGATCGTCAATAGCTTCAAGTTCTTTTTCTTTGCTGGAATTCTTTAATTAATTGTAAAAATTATTGAAAGTAGACTGTAGATTTCTTTGCAATACTTTCAAAATGCAACACCTCCTACAGTTTTGGTCTGAATGATTTCCAACTGCTACTTTTCCTTTGTTATAAGTACAAACCAGTAGAGCTACAGTATCGACAGAGACTTCTGGTTTATTATTGTATAGAACATAAATTCACTGCGGGCAGTTGGAACCAACTGATATATATTGCACACTAAAATGGTTTATATAAGTATGATTATCATATTTTATAAGTAATCTTTTGAAACTTTTATTTGCTAGAACTTTCATGTAGTTAAGCGAGACAGTCTTCTCTGTTAAAACGCACTTTGGAAATATCATTTTTTTTCAAAGTGCGTTTATATCGACCATATGTAAAAAATGTAAAGATTGATCTATATTACTAGAAAATAATTGGTATCATAAATAACAGATCCTGGTTGGATAACTTTTTTTTATGATAAAATCACTTCAGGACCTGAGATATTGACGTTTAGATATTTCAGGTTTAGATAAAATAAAAGGGAAAAGGGTCTTGAAAAAATAGAGTGAAGATTGTTTAAGATCAATAATTCTTTTTTTTTTTTGTTGATAAAAATAGATGTAAAGGTGTAAAGGGGGCACTAACAGTGGACAGCTTTAAGCAACTTAGCATTTATCATGTTCAAAACTATGAAAATTCTTTTTCTACGTTTTACTGTACTTAAAAATTTATAGTTTTCATCTGTTTTAAATAACTCATTTAATATTGAAAGTTTTCAACGTCATACTAGTTAGGTAAATACATAATTATACGAATGTTTGAGTATAGAATAGACATCGAGACCGGGCGAAGAGCCAGAGGAGAGGGAGGGGGTAAGCCTCCCACTTATTTTGGAAAGATTTAATTATAAGCATTGAAAATGCAGCTTATATACCCCTTCTGGGTTTATTGCTCCCCTCCCCGTTTGTTACCGACACCTATGTATTGGAAAGATAAAGATTTGGACTGAGGCTATAGATCTTATACCCGTCTTCTCTTTTCTTTTTGTAGGTTAGGATTAGGGTTAGTTTTTGAAAGATAGATAACAAATAAAATCTTTCCATTACTATAATATTTTTTTTTTCATAGTGCGTTAAGTGTCTCCATGGTTAAAAATACTTTGATGTAGACTCTTAACGCACTTTTAAAAATTTTTTCAAAGTGCGTTGAGTTGGTCCCAAATTTAACGCACTTTGAAAATTTTTTTCAAAGTGCGTTGATTTTGTCCCAATTTTAACGCACTTTGAAAAAAATTTTTCAAAGTGCGTAATTTTTTCAAAGTGCGTTGCCACACTGCTCGCAAATATTTCATTTGTATATATATTATACTGTAAATGTATTATATTTGGCGTGTACTATATTTGGCGGAAGTTGAATTTTCAACAAATTGGCGTAGATTTGATTTAGCGCTTTTTTTTATAAACCTTTATACACAAAGCATTTAGCGATGTACTCGATTTAGCGGAGCTGCTTTCCGCGAAAGGCGCTAAGAAGAATACACAGCCAAATGTAATACGTTTACAGTATACAATAAAAGCCAAATATTAAATCATGAAAAATTTTGTCCCACAAATAAATACCAAATAGCAATCTCATTGTATGTTTACAAAATGTTTAATGATAATTATTTCTTAGATTGTCATAAAATTAGAGGGAAAAAATGATTGAAAGATATACATCAATACTGGGGATATTGAAAAGCTATAAACTGAGCCTTTTTTGTCGTGATTGGTTCGTCTCCATTCAAATTGTCTTCCACAATGCTTAGAAATTAAGGAAGGAAGGAGATAACGGATATAACAGGACAAGCACGTATATATATTTACCTTTTTTTAAAAGGTTAATTAAAAGTTCGAAACTTATTGAATAAACCCTTTTATTCATATATATAAATTCGAATGACAAAGAAAAGTCAGCTGGATCCTTTAAATTGATTGTTTCCATTGTCTTGATTTAGATTATTACAATATTACTGTATCTATCTCTTAAGTCGTCCAATGCAGCAACTTCTTTGATTCACAAACAAAGCTGAATTGGTCAACATCAAAATCATGAGCGTCTTGCCATTTCCACAGTAGTGCACCTCTTGCCCTAGCTCTGATTTCATTTTCTCCGTTACTATTTGCACCAACACCGAAATTATCGAATTCCATGAGTGTGTTGTCATCAAAATACCAGTTCGAGCCATTTCGTGTGGCCTGAACCCACACTTCTGTTACTGACGGGTCAGCAACTTGGTTTTCTTAGAAAGAAAAAAAAATGTGTGCTAAATTGTTAGCATACCATTATTGCAAGGGCTGTTTAATAAGTAATATAATGTCATCGGTGCTCGTACAGAAACAAAAATCGCTTTTCAATGATTAAGTCTTAATGATTTCACTTAAATATTCTCTTTTGATTAAAATACATGGTCGTCTCATTATAATTAAATTTCTAATTGTGTTTATAACACATTTTAGAGTATGGCCCTTCGTATACTGGAATATGCCAGATCCTATGAATTCCTGTACTTGTGTATTGTCCCCATTGCTTTCAAGAAAGCGAGGGGACATTAAATCTCATTCGTCTGTTCGTCAGTCTGTCCTTCCGTCACAAAAACTTAAACCATGTTCATAACTTTTGAATCAGTGGAGCTATGACTTTCATATTTCACATGTGTATTCTTTGTGAGTTGTGACAAGACCTTTCTTCGGGTACCTTGACGATTAACGTACTTATGAATTAACTTAACTTTGACCATAACGTTTAAATTGTAAGGGCTAGGGCTTTCATATTTCGCATACTGTAGATTCCTTATTATTAGGAAGGAATTAATTATCGCGTAATTTCGCGAAATGCATTAAACGCAAAATTAAGTTACTCGCTTTTCTTTTTACGGTGCTAAATTCCATGTAATTTCTCCTGATCAATCGTTCATTCGCGAATAATTATTCTCGCGATTTGACGCAAAAGAGTTATTTCGCGAAAAAAAAAGGAATTGTTAAAGATACGTTCAACAAAAAATTCTCCAAACGTTATTAATTTGCCCTGCAAAAGAGTAGTGCCGCAGTTATCGTGAAGGTGATTGGTTAAAAATCTATTTCTAAAATTACATCGGAAAAATGTCGTAGATGGACGCTGTTATGAACAAATTTAATGTAGTGGATTCCTGATTCTTGTTCCTTTCTCTCATAAACCTTTCGATATTTTATGCAAAAATGTTTTCTAGACTCTTCAAGAAATTGAACAAATTGAAAAATTGAAAAAATTGAAGTTTTTGAACTGACTCCCCGAATAAGAATATGAACAACTAGAGCAAAGCTCGTTGCAAAGCAACGAGAAGGTCTTCCGTCCTGTTTGACCGGAAGTAACTTTCATTTTTATAAAAATTAGTAATAACGTCCTAAAATTGTTTAAATCGTCTAAATCTATGTTATTTAATGCAAAAATCAGCCATTTTTTGCTACTTCCGGTTTGACCGGAAGTGACGACGACGGACGGAAAATTAATTTTTATGTTCCCAGTGACAGATGTTACCCCAAAACTTGTCAATAATGACAAAATATGCGTTTTCCGACTACTTCCGGTTGGCCGGAAGTGACGTCGCCGGACGTACTTTGACGACCTCAATAGATTGAGCTTGACATTTTGAACAACTTTGCTTCTTTGAGATATTACAAATTCTGAATACTTTTTGAGATATAAAGGAAAAACTTTTGGCCCCTCTTGGCCCTTAATTTCAGGGGCCAGCCCTTTTTCCGAGATATCTTCTGAAAGATCTTCTAATTCTGCACAAATTATGTTTTATATATTTTAACAAAATATTTTTAGTTTAGAAGATAAAAAGCAAAATATGAGTAATTTTTGGCTCTTTTAAGCGTCTAATTTTTGACCCCTATATAGCGCCATTTTGAATAGAGAAATCGAAAAACAAAAACCGATGTGCACAACTTCTATCCTTCTGTTATCTAAAATCAGAAGAATTTTTGTTCCAGCTTTAGCCGTCCCTGAGTCTTTGTCTGGAAACGAAAGCCTATAAATTTTCGCTTAAAGGGAAATAACTCAAAACCGAAAGTGCATTTTTGAAATTTTCGACAACATTCTGATAGAGTTTAGTAACCTCTAATATCTCTGAAAATTTGAGCGAAATCAGTTGAGAAATGAGTGAGTTATGAGGCTTCAAAGTTGGCGTCTAGGAAGTAGAAGAAAAAAAAGATTGATTGATTGATTGTATACTGTTTAATGTCCCTCTCCAGAATATTTCACTGATATGGAGACGTCACCATTGCCGGTGAAGGGCTGCAAATTTAGGCCTATGCTCGGCAATCAGGGCCATTGAGCAGGGAGGGATCTTTATCTTTTAGAAGAATAATCTTTACCAACAGAATCAGTAGTTCTAAGGTCTTAACAAGACCACTAATATTTAAGAAAATAGCTTGTTGAACTGTTTTGTGCTCTTGCAATTCTCTGCTCTTCTCTTAGGCTTTGCTGTTTTCTCAAGTGCAGCTTATTGTACATTTGTGTTGAGGTTTAAAGCACTGGATTCATATTTCATCATTTTTTTGATTTCAGAAAAACGTGATTTTTAAAAATAGTTGTATAGATATTCTCACACTCTGTCGTTTTCACTCATTTTTCAAAACATGCATGGGGGGACCTGTGGGTATTAAGCTTATTTACTGTCAAATGTTTCTTGAAAACATTGTGAACTACTTCCAAAATGATGCCTATCAAATTTGCTATGTGTCTTAAAGTCAATCAAACTTAATCAGGGATAATTTGTTGAATTTTGGCAAATAAAACATTGGTTGTTGCAAGTCCTTGTCGCCAAGGACGGTATCCATTTCTTGATGCCCATGATATCATTTTTGTTCATTGTAATCCACCTGTAAATTTCACATATTTTACTTAATATTTCTTTGGGATTTTTAACAAGTTTTACAACATTAGCGTTCAATTTCACTCCAGTTTACTAATTATTTACCATTCATTTTTAATGCTATGTCTCGAATAGCCCTTGTTTTTCAGCTTCCCACAACGAACTTATGTGACGTGAAGTGGTCACATAAACTGTTATAAATTCATAGAAATTCAATGGTTAGTAAAGAGATAAAGTCAAGCTTAATGTTAAAAGAATTATATGTTGTGTGTCGTCGAGGTCATGGCATCATTTAATGAACAGCCCTCGTACATCTCTCTCTCTCTCTCTCTCTCTCTCTCTCTCTCTCTCTCTGTGAGGGTGCGTAGAAGGGAGTGTGAGAGTGTTTGTTGGTGTGTGAGGGACGTGTGAGGGAGAGTGTGATGAATACTTCTTGAAAATAATAACTTACCGACAAAATTTATAAACGTAGAGTTCTTTTCTGCAGAGTCTATTCTAATAAGGGCCCCTCCCTCGGCCTTACACAGGGCGTCGGCCACTGGGTAGCTGACGGAGGTGGAGTTATATTTATAGCAGGTACTGGGGGCAACAAGTTCGTACCCAGGTAGACACTTCCCTGTATCAATAAAAAGAATTACATGTATATAAACTAGGGGAGATTGACAAAGCTAAGGAAAATAAAAATCAGTGGATATAATTGAAATTAATTGCCTTCATGTAGACGAAAGCTTCGAATGTTAATTCCATACTATTCATAATTATAGTGACCTACATCTAGCTCCATAATTACATGTATCACACTTATGATATCAAATTAAACTGACTAACCTAATTCCAAACTTTATTGAATCAGTTTATTGACATCTTAGAACTTTTTTCTACCCCCCCCCCCCCAAAAAAAAAAAAGAAAAGAAAAAGAGGCCCATGGCCCACATCGCTCACCTGCGTAACTTTGGCCAAGCTTTTCTTTACCAGATTCCCTATTGTGGCCCACCCTATCCTCCATGGGTAATGCTTTTACCAATTTAGAATTAATACTACCCAAAGATGCTTCCAAATTACTTTCAGCTTTTCTTGCCAGTGGTTTTTGAGAAGATTTTAAAAGTATTTTCCTATATATTTTAATGTTAAACTTAGATTCCCTATTGTGGCCCTGTCCTACCACTAGGGTTCTTGATTTTAACAATTTATAATCTACACCACAAAAGAATGTGCTTGAACAGAAGTTTCAGCTTTTCTGGCCCAGTGGTTTCTGAGAAGATTTTTAAAGTTTTTCCTTATAAAGTTAAATTGTAAAGTTATTTCAACATAAAAATTGGATTCCTTATTGATAAAAAACAACAACACTGAATAGAGTCTTATAATTAATTTTAAATGATTCGTGAAATAAAAAAGTTTTCTTAGAGAAAAAAATAGTCTTACCGCTGACGTAGGTCTGCCAGTTTCCTGGCATTGCCGCCTCAGAATCCAACAAAGGACTAGGGCAGCACATACACGAAAGTGACGTCCTGTCCCATCCTACGGCATGAAGTACGGCATAGGAATTAAGGCACGCTGACAGGCACTTCGATGGACGCGAAAACGTTGCAAGATGGTTACAGGAATTTGTAGGGTTTTCTAAGACCTTTTCTGACCAAGAAAAGTGAACATTCATGGTAAAAATCTGTCTGAGTATGGTTAACGAGAAAAGGAATTTCAAAGTTTGAATCATTTTGAACATTTTTCAACAGCTCTCGCTGATTGCTGCAGATGCTGATCGATTCACTAAGATTTGTCGGTTACTGCTGATGGAATATCGTTTTAAAGTCTCTCGGTCTAGTTTGTAGAGGATCTTGATCAAGTTGGGTAAAAATCGTGGGAATCCTTTTTTTTAATTGTAATTTTGATGCTCAGTGATTAAGGATGAAATTTACACAATTAAGGTAATTGCAGACAACACTACACAAACACTACGTACTAAAGTAAATATCTTTCCTAAAGTTTTCTTTAAGGTAAACATTTTACATTGACGATAGTAATTGATTGTGAAAAAAGCTATAATTTAGAAAATCACTTTCAAGAAAGATAGTCATTATCGCTTCCGTGGCAAAGAAATCGGATGCAATTCCATGCTAAAGCAAACAATTATTCTGTATAAGTTTGTCAATATTAAACATGTTAAACGTTTTTTCAAATTGATCTTTTTCACTTGAAGGACTTGTGTTGGGTTCTCGAGTTTGGAATATCATACTATTTTTGATTTCCTAGAACTAAGCAATACCATGTGGGTGATTTTTTTGCAAAAAAAATGATTAAATCTATTGGAATGAAAATGGCTGCCCGAAACTTGTTATTCAAAAGATTACTAGTATTCAGTATTTTAGAAAAACGGTTGACAACATACATGAAAGCTAATTGATTAGAGTTTTTAAATTATTCAAGAAACTTACTTTTGCTGAGATTTCGACAAGTAAATTGAAAGATCTCTGAGATAGGTTACTGTTCGTTATCTTCTTATACATACCGTGACATGTTTATTTCTTACTTTTAAATGATTATTATCCGTGAGCCATCGAAGGTAATAGAATCACCAAATTAATTGTGTAACAATTACCTCAGTACATTCAGTAATGGATCACAGGTATTGTGCATAGATTGTACTACTGTGTAAAATGTGCAATGAGGATGTGTTAGAAAGTTAATGTAAACCTCTGCTTGAACTGAGTTGAAAAACATCTTTTTAATCCTTTTAAAAACAATGAAATATGTAGAGATATCTAACAGTATTTAAGCTCAAAAGTTCATTATAAACATGACATTTTAAATTATATAATTCTTTATTGAATAACTTTAAGCCATACGGACCATCAGTACATGTATATAAACAAAAATACATATAATGAACTAGTGGCGAGAGTCTGCAGGGATGGGTGGGGGTGGAACCCCTAGTGTCCATTATAAGAAGCAAAACAGACATTCGAACCTCTAAAACATAAGAGGTGGAATCAGGTGCCATGGAGGAGTGACCATATTTAGAAAGAAAACAGCAGCAAGAACACTTTATTCCAAGCTATCCGAATTTCCAGAACATGCCGAGAAACATTGTGAGCTTTACTGTGAAACTTGTGACTTTTCTGTTGTGTTCTTCGTGTGTCATCCCGGGTACCGTAAAGAACATCCAGGTACCTGGTAAATCATTCGATTCCAAAATCTCCAAAGAAAGAAAGTGTAAAAAGATATCTAGAGGAGCTTCAAGATAGAATACATCAAGCCTTTCAAAAAGTCGCATCAGATAACGCTACTACATGTAAAAGCTTACATGGAAAAGCATTATGAGGAACTGACAACAATGGAAATTAAACAAGGAAAAAATTGTCCAAAGAAATTAAAATCGTAGTCGACAAAAGAAAATCCAAAACGGATTTTTAACATATGAAGGGAGAAGAAACTGAAGATGATTTAAAAGCAGGATGATGAAATTATATCAAGTTCTATGATAAACGTGATGACTATCGTCAAATTTCTTTACTTATGCAGCGATATACCTTCATCGCCTGCAAATATAGATCTCTCACTTAATTCGATATGCAAGAGCATGCTTAACGTATGAACAGTTCCTAAAACGAGGTAAATTATTGACAAACAAGTTGATGAAACAAGAATACAAATTATCAGCAGTCTCGTTTAAAGTCATCATCGATTCAATTGTCAGCAAATACAATTTATCATTGAGTCAAATGCTGACTGGCGCTTATATGTTGTGAATAAACTGAAACTATCATGCTACGAAATCATTCGTCAAGATCACAACAGTGGACGTCGTGGTGGTTGAATAGCTCTTGTTTTCAAGAAGGGAATTGATGTGACCGTTCTGATCACAAGCTCGGATATTTTCACTCAATTCGAACATCTAGAAGTTACAGTCCGAATAGAAGACATGAGAATGAATCTATGTTTCATTTACAGACCGCCACCTCCTTCTGCGAATGGTTTAACTACCAATCAGTTCTTCTCAGAATGGGAAACCTATCTCGATCAGAATACCATATTTCCCCAAGAGCTAGTAATCATAGGTGATTTCAATTTTCACGTCGACAATCGTAGTGATCCTGAGGCAAGCAGGTTGTTACAATCCCTTGATGATCGCAACCTTATACAACACGTGGTCGAGCCGACCCATGTTCACGGACATATCCTAGACTTGCTTATCACACGATCATCTAGTGAAATACTACATTCACATCCTCAAGTCAAAACTCCTTCATTAAGTGATGTGAAAGGAAACTTGTGTTGTGACCACTATGCTATACATGCAACTTTCAACTGCAGAAAGCCACAACATCAACGTAAAGAGATCACATTTAGAAGGATCAAGAATATCAACATACATGATATGAATAGAGATATAAAAAAATCAACTACGAGATGAATCCGCACGAAATGAGAACACGTCTGTTGACCATTTAGTTCAAAGGTACAACGAATGCCTCTCACATATTCTAGACACACATGCGCCTCTTGTGAACACGTCAATTCTTATAAAAGCTAACACAGAATGGTACACAGACGAGCTCAGGACAGCGAAACAACAGAAGCGGAGAACGGAGAGACTTTGGCGTAGAACTAAACTGGAGATACATCACCAGCTTTTTAAAACGGAATGTAAGCAAACAGGCCAATTACTACACAAGGCAAAAGAAGAATTCTATTCTGCTAAATTCAGGAAAGTAGAGATGATCTGAAAAACTTCTTTAGGGTGACAAATTTATCGATGGGCAAGAATCAGTCCCCTACCAACATCATCATCAGATGAAGATCTTACTAATAAATTTTCAACGTTTTTCATAGACAAAGTAATATCCATTAGAGAGACACTTAAACAAAAAACTGAAAAAGAAGACAACTATTTAGACACAGACATACACTATAATGGGCCTCTATTAGCTGCTTTTGAAAGTACCACTGAAGATGAAGTAAGATCACTAATGATGAAGGCACCAAGTAAATCCCGCGAACTGGATCCAATTTCAACAAAGCTACTGAAAAAGTGCCTGGACCCAGTAATACCGCTTGTCACAGACATGGTAAATGCATCTTTTTTCCGTCTGCTTGGAAGGAGGCCATAGTTCGTCCACTTCTTAAGAAACCTGGACTAGATAAGGAAGGGTTGAAAAACTATCGACCCGTATCAAACTTGAGTTTTATCTAAAAAATATTTGAGAAAGTTGTGGCACGTAGGATTGATGCCCACTTGGATGCAAATTCTCTTCGCGATCCACTTCAGTCGGCTTTTCAGGCACTCCACGGAAACGGCCCTCATCAAGGTCCACAACGATATTGTGACAGCCCTGGACCAGCAATCGTCCGCAGTCCTTGTCCTTCTGGATTTATCCGCTGCTTTTGATGTTATTGACCATAAGATACTGTTCCAACGCCTAACTGTGTCTTATGGATTCTGTGAGTGGATCAAGTCTTACCTCAAGAACAGAAAACAATGTGTCACAATTGGATCCGTCTGATCAGAGTCTAGACAGCTGCCTTTGGGGTCCCCCAAGGATCCGTACTCGGACCGAAATTGTATTGCCTCTTCTCCAAACCCATTGGAATCATATGCCATCGACATGGAATGATATATCACTGCTATGCAGATGATACACAAATCTACATGATCATAAGACCACTGGAAAATTGGAACAATTATTTCTCTCGACTTGAAGTGTGTCTTAGTTAAATAGGTTTATGAATGACATCAAACCTACTCAAACTAAACCAAGAAAAGACAGATTTAATAATCTTCACCACAAAGCAACACCAGAAGTATCTGCCAAAATTACAACTAAAAGTTGGTGATAATATCATTGAAAGCGTGCCATGTGTAAAAAATCTAGGCGCGTTTTTCAATCAACATCTTACTATGGAAAAACAGGTATCCTCGGTTGTCAAGTCATGCTATTTCCAAATAAGCAATATTGGACGTATACGGCGCTTCCTTAAAATAGAAGCCCACAAGACAATTGTGAATGCCGTTATCACTGCCAGATTAGACTATGGGAACTGCTTTCTTTATGGAGTGTCAAAGGCCTTACTAGAACGGATTCAAAAAGTCCAGAACACGGCAGCTCTTTTAGTTACAAGACCATCGAAACGGGAGCATATTACACCTATCCTAGCTGATCTTCATTGGCTACCGGTTTTTTTCCGTCCCCAATATAAAATCTTGACATATGTCTACCAATCCTTATACACGGGTTAGCTCCATCTTACAACAAAGATCTTATAATGGAATACAAGCCCACCAGATCACTGCGATCTGAGTCAACATCACGGTTAGTTGTTCCTAAGATCAGGACGAAGACGTATGGCGAACGACGACTTGGTTGGGAAGCAGCATTTTTGTGGAACGACCTTCCTAATGACACAAAGCAGGCCCAGTCCCTGAATATTTTCAAAAGACAATTAAAGACGGATTTTTATAAAACAGCTTTTTAATTATCAGGTGCTCAACTTTTAGCAGCAAATCACAAATGATGTTCCTTTATTGAGTTTTATTAATGTATTTGTATTTTGTATGTAATTTTAGTATTTTAATGTTATAATTTCGAACACATGAGTATGGGTTAATATTTTATGTATGTTTTCATAGCTTTTAACTTATGTTTACTTGCGTTTTATTGTACAGCGCTTTAGAGTTAAATTATTAATAATTAGCGCTTTATAAATTCATATATTATTTTACTATTATCATATTACACCAATGGTTA